TGGGTCATGCATTCTTGCTTTGTAACGACTTCATGATATTTACCGCCCAATTCTGTGTTTTCTTGATACATTTTTTGTAAAGAAGTTTTATCAAGATTTTTTTCAAGTAAAAGCTTCCTTCGCATCCTGTGTAAATATTTATAAAACAAAAAGCTGTTTGATTTCCACATGAGTGGAACTGATTTCCACATGAGAGGAACTGATTTCATTATCACATATGAAAAATATGAATTTAAACGCAAAAAAGCTTTTGACTGCCGTAGCCGAGTAGGTAGAGATGTCGACTATAATTCCGTGTGTCGCAGGTTCAAATGCCGGCACATGGAGTATTTAATTGTTAGAAACAAATTTATTAATATACAAAATTTATACATTTCACATGAAATTTCAATTTGTCAATAGCATTCTCAATCTTGATAATTTATCAAGAAAAGAGCTTTTGATTTCTGTGCTAGAATACCAATCCTTGATAAATAATAATAAAATGACAAATTATAAAGATTTTCAATTTATCAAGTGCACAGAATCGGGTTGTTACTCTTAACACTAACCCAAAGTCTTTCAGAGACATAGATTCAAATGTGTGTTTCAATGTCGAAGTACTCTGATGATCTATGAATGCTCCGTAAATGGATTTTGAACCAAACCGATATTACTACTACCATCCGAAAAATAATCTGACAAAGATTTCAGGTGATTTACCAAGTGCCCAGTTTTGACATGTCTCATTTCATTTGGCGATTCATCGCGTCCCTTGTAGCAAGTTGTATATAACCCTTTAGCTACAGCGGTCAACAACAAATACCGGTTAGAAAAAAACTAGCTGTCAAGCGGAAGCGCGACGCTCTTATAAATATGTGTATGGCACTCAGTACACAGAGAAATTTTCATTTTCAAATTTGTATGGAGCGTTTTACTTTTAAAAACGTTTTGACCCAGGTTTTGCACCTACAATATTTATTTTAGTCGTGAGAACTAAAATTTTCAATTCAACCTCTAAAATCTGTATTTTTGTTTTTAATACACGCATTTTAAAATCGATTCGTTATTTGAAAATGCGCATGTTCAAATGAAATAATAAGANTGAGAACTAAAATTTTCAATTCAACCTCTAAAATCTGTATTTTTGTTTTTTAATACACGCATTTTAAAATCGATTCGTTATTTGAAAATGCGCATGTTCAAATGAAATAATAAGGTGATAATTTTTAGATTTAAAATCATGAATTTTCGAATATGATATTTAAATTTTATTTTTATTATATCACATACATTTATATAGAGTAAGTTAGGGTATTGTGAAATAGGTATACGTTTTTCGACTATTAATTAAATTTTTTTAAGGTAAACCTTCATTTAACCATGCAATTTAATTAATAGATGCATTGTGCAGCATATTCTAAGATCATGTTCCTTTATAACAATCATTTCGGAAGATATTTCATTAAAACCACAAATAATCCAAACAGTCGGGTTTTCAAAATAGGGGGGTAATGTGATATACCCCATCGGTCAAAGTGATATACCATATCACATTACCCACAAGCTCTCCTTAAAGAAACAATTATTTTTTAATATTTAAATTAATAAGAAAAATTCGTTAAAAGATTTCTAGATACTTCATTTAAACAAAATAGATACATATTTAATTTTTTAACAGAATTCACAAAGAATAAACAAAATAAAATACAGTCAAGTACGCAAATTGGAGTACAAAAGTTCAAATTATTATATGGGTTTATACATGCATATGCATTTCCAAATTTATTCACAAGCCTCGCAGAGAAATATTGCTTGCCGTTTAGTAAAAACATTTGCTATGCGCCCATACTAAGTCGCATTGCAAGCATAGTATCCACGTTTTGGCTTCCTCATCCGCTTCAATATTTTTTATGCTTTCCTCCGAAGATGCTTTATTATGATGTTGTTAGTACTGTTGCTTCTGATCCTTTACCTCTGCAGCTGGTAGTCTGTTTCAGCTTAGGCGGTGGTGAGATCTCCCATGGTGTAATGGATAAATACCAGTGCATTTGAACCCATTAATTGCTATTTGTGCCGTTTGAACTCTAACATAAGCTTTTGCAAATAGTTCTACGACATCAAATTGTGTCACTTTTTGGCCTTGTTCTGGCATGAACCTTCTTATCTCATCATTGTAGTAGGTTTTAAGAGGACCCATAAAGGCTTTATCTAAGGTTTGCATTTTGTGTGTACAATGCGGCGGCAAAGATAGAGCTTTAGCCAGAACTTCGATATTTCGCTCATAACTGTAGTGACCGTTTAACATAAGCAGAATTGGGTTCTCCTGTGACGGATTTGTGAACCACAAAAAATGATCAAACCACATGGAAAATATCAGAATTGTATCCATCCAGATATGTGGCAAGCAGAATCGGAATCATTAACAGCGGGGAAATTTTTTTTCCTGGGAAAAACGAAGACTGGTGGCACAAAGGCACCGCCTGCACTCATACAGCTTACAATTGTTATAAGCGATCTTTCTGCTGATGTCATGCATGCAATTTGGCTTTTGCCTTTTGAAACTAAAATTTTCGGCTGCTTACTTTGTACAAGAGAAACCCCTGTCTCATAAACGATCCAAATTCGAGTTGGAGAAAATTTATACACCTCATACTCCTGCCCAGTGGCGTAGCCAGTATTTGGCTTTGGGGGGTTGAAAAAAAATTTCCCTCGATAACTTAAATCTGTGACACACAATAGCTAGAGGCGTCGCCTGAGTGCATTCTTTCATATATTTATGTATGTGCCAGTTTTACCGTTATATATTTTTTATTTAAATTTAAAAAATTCAATTACTAATATACCGTTTTAAAAATCTGAAAATTCACTGCTGAAATTTTTTTTATTCTCTTTTTGTCTTCGCCTTCTAGGTTTTGCCTTTATAAGTTTTGAAAAAAGGTTATGAACGTACCATTATATCACATTCCTTGGCAAGTTTTGGAAGAATATGAAAGAAAATGTCGAAATCAGCTTCATATAGAAACAGTGTCATCGTTAATTAAGAAAGAGATGTTCTTAAATATCATAACTTTACGACACTCACATGTTGACTAGATTTGACTATTTATTTTATTATATTTTAATTTTAATTATTTGTCTATAAAAATATAGTTTATTCCTTAACAAACACTAAATGAAAATAAGTTTAATCTTTGAACAACATTAAAAAAAATCGACAAACTTTCGTAAAAATTTCGAACTTTCTATTTCAATTTTATCTCTTAATATTTTGCAGTTTTTTTAGCTCATTCAATTTTAGTCTAATAAAGTGCAAATTTAAAGTAGCTGCGATTTACAATTGACGTATGGCTCATTTTTGACGATGTCGGTAATTTTCTTCCTAAGTATGTTCGACGATTTTTTTTAATGAAGAAAATGAGCAACGCCTTCATCAAAAAAAAAAAATATATTAAAAATCAACGATAAGTATGTATTTTAACTTGCGCTTTATTTGAATTGATAGGCTACAAAACTGCATACTCAAAACATGTATTTCTAGGAAATCTAATTAAAAAGCTTTGCGAAAGTTTGTTGATTTTTTTAATGTTGCGCAAAGATTAAACTTTGGATCTATACGGGTTTTGTTAAAGTGTAAACTGCATTTTATAAACAAATAATGAAAATTATATAATTTTAAGATAAATGGCGAATCTAGTTAAATGTATAAAGTTTTGATAAGCACTTGAAATGTCAAGTTTTAGTACTGAATTCAAGAAGATGTCTCTTTTCTTTTATCCATTCATAATAACCTAAAAAAATTTGTTTGTTAAGAAGTGTATCTTAAAATATCTGCCTTGACATTTATGTTAGAAGTGTAAAATATGTAAATGTACCTACATAAACTTTCCCGTGAATACCATCAAATCATTGGTCTTGAAGGGAATCTATGTATGCATTAGAGGTATACGCCGCCGAGCCACGCCGCCGCCGCCGCCGATTTGTGTCATTCCTCACGCGCCGCCGCCGAGTTACGAATTTTGTACAAAATTTCATGATGTACATATGTACATTGAATACATCGTTTGGAGGAACTAAATACTACCTGTATAAAAACACAATTTTACGAAATAAAAATTACACTTTTAAATAAGTTTTTTTTACATAATTTGGGCCACTGGACAAGAACATGATCTCCTTTCTTTTTCCAACAAAAAGTAACTCAGAAAAAACATAGGTAACATATTTTTCGACGAAAGCGTTTATTACAGTTAAATTGGGGTCGAATACTGGTAATCTATCGATTTTTTTCCGCAGTCGACAATTATTTTCAATCCTACAACAATAATACTTTTTTATAAACCTACTACAACAACAAGGAAGTTATAACACATCAAAAACTTTAACGCCAATATCTCAGAAAGCAGTTTTAATAGAAGCGTCCTCTTTGCATCTAGCTCCTCAATTATTGGAGATAAAACAAAGATAATGGCAGCGCTCCCACCAAAAACTATGTTCACGCCGCCCCTGGTTTCGTAACTGCATATTTATCATCGAAAAACAACTGTCAATTATCTCATCTCAACATTTCCCCTACTAATTGTTTTCTTCGCTGGTAGTCAACTCATCGAATTAAAAACAAGAACAAAGGTCTTTACGCATTGCATTCGTAACATGCTTCCTATGCTCACACTGGAAAGCTCTCACCACCACCAACACCACCTGCTTCGTTTTAGTCGTCGTCGCTGCTAGCATAGCTCCAGCTAAAACCACTCAATTCATTGGATCGCAGACCACCGGACAAATTACACACTTCGCTTCGTACATATATTTCAAAATTTATTATTTTTCTTACTTAGCAAATACAAGCGCTAATATCTAAAGTTAATAAAATTGAATTTTAAAAATTATAAATTAATATCGAATTACTTGTTTTCGTTATTGAAAAGCCACGGAAAACGCACCGCGCGCTACACCAGAAGGTCCTTCGAGCCGGATTTTCAGCTTAATTTTTTCTTCGAAAAGGAATAAAACACGTGATAATGCTCGGTAATTTGGATAACATCACATTGGACATGGACCAAACTCCTCCAAATCAAGACACTGGTGCGAGTAACATCCGAGTAAAGGTTATGCAACGAGAACATTTGTGGAGTCGCCTTCAAAGTACACGCAATGAAATCTCCGAATTCCCCAATATGTCCGAGTCAGAGTTGAAGGTCAAAGCGGACATGTTAGAGCGACAGTACAACACTTTCAAAAAAATACAGTCCGCGTTAGAAGAATTAGACGAGTCGCAGTTTGGCTTCAATCATCGAGTAGAATTTGAATCGGCGTATTTCACCATAAAAAGCGCAATCACCAGTAGACTAGTGGCGCCAAATTTTGATCACCTAAGCAGCACCCGCATGAACTCTTCGCAAATTCATCGCAAAGTAAACCTGCCAAAATTACAACTATCTAAATTTAGTGGGCGCCACACAGACTGGTTAGATTTTTATAATATGTTCCTCGCATTGGTTCATAATAATGCTGATTTAACTGACATCGAGAGATTTCAGTATTTGCGCTTATGTCTCACAGACGGCGCGGCACGGCTAATTCAGTCATTAGAAGTTACACCAGCCAATTATCAAAGGGCGATTGATCTCACCGTGGGTAGATTTGACAACAAGCGGTTTATATTTCAATCGCATTTATCAACAATTTTTGATGTGCAAAAGGTCACCAAGCCGAGTGTGTCAAGTCTACGCGAATTCATCGATAGCATTAATGCTAATCTGCGCGCCATGCAATCGCTGGCGACCACCATTCAAATTGCTGATGGAATAATTCTTCACCTGGTAACGTCTAAGCTAGACGAAAATACGCGAAGCAAATGGGAAGAAGAAGTGGCTGCTAAATTTGATCGAAAGTCAGTAACCACCTTGCAGCTTCCAACATGGAACGATTTGGCAGATTTTCTCGAACGCCGATGCCAAACGTTCAATATCATCGAAGCCAATCAATCAAGCTCAGATGGTTCCGCCAGTCACAAAAATCATACATCGAAACCATATTCATCGAAACAGCTCTCTTTCACCACCACAACTGCATCGTCGAAATGTCCACTTTGTGAAACAAGGTCATATCATAATGCATTCAATTGTGTGAAGTTCATGAAAATGGATCCTCTTGAGCGGTACAATTTGATTAAACGGTTAAAATTATGTCTCAATTGCTTTGGTTTTAACCACTCGTCGAATCAATGCCCATCACTTCGTCGGTGCCAGCACTGTCGTGCGAGCCACCACACCTTGCTGCATCGCACATATGGTAGCAAGGCAGACGACAACAACAAAATGGAAGATGGGAAGGCTGAGAAGTCAACAACGCTACAGGCTGGTATCGTTACAGGTGAAGTCATTCTCGCTACAGCTCTAGTTCGTTTATGTAACACTGCGGGAAGCTCTCTCATCGCACGTGTGTTGTTGGACTCAGGTTCTCAGCTCCATTTTGTCACCGAAAGAATTGCACAACATCTTCGGCNACACTGCGGGAAGCTCTCTCATGGCACGTGTGTTGTTGGACTCAGGTTCTCAGCTCCATTTTGTCACCGAAAGAATTGCACAGCATCTTCGGTTACCGCGCAAAAAGCGCAGCATAGAGGTAACGGGCATTGGATCTACAACAACGAAAACGCAGCAAGTATGCTGTGTTGTACTAAAATCGCGCCATACAGCATTTTCGTCGACTTTGGAAGCGGTCATCATACCGACAATAACTTCGTGTCAACCCAGCAATCGTGTCAGCATTGAGAAATGGAATTTGCCTAACAACATAAATTTGGCAGATGAACAGTTCTACGAGCCAGCAACGATCGATTGTCTTATTGGAGCAGCGTTGTTTTATGATTTGCTTCTCGTCGGTCAAATCAAGCTGCGCAACAATTCGCCGGTTCTGCAGAAAACTAAACTCGGTTGGATAGTTTCTGGCATCGCTAACTCATCTGCACCAATAGCTTCATCACCAAAAACCTCATCGTTGAATAAATCATCGGCCTATATGGCATTTCTCACCATGTCCGAAGAACCAGTTCTCGTTGCAAACCTTTTGGGCATTGGAAGAACACCACACCAATTCATTAACGTCAGTTTCGCCAGAGGAGCAAGCATGTGAAGATTTCTTCGAAACAACCACAACCAGATGTCCAAAAACCAACCAATTCATCGTTCGCTTACCGTTTAAAGAAGACCCCAGCAACCTAGGGCAGTCATATGACGCGGCTTTCAAAAGGTTGGTATCTCTTGAGTATACATTTTCTCGCAATCCCGCACTCGCCAACACATATCGTGAATTTATCAACGAATATATTAACATGGGGCATATGACACTGCTTAATAACCCCGAAGAGGCTCGTAATTTTATCCCCCACCACTGCGTCACAAAGGCGGACAGCAGCACCACAAAACTCCGTGTGGTCTTCGATGCGTCGTGCCGAACTTCGAATGGGAAGTCTTTGAACGACATATTGCTCGTCGGTCCGACGCTACAGGACGATATTTTCACAATCCTGCTTCGCTTTAGAGCTTACAAATACGTGTTAATGGCTGACATCGCTAAAATGTACCGCCAGGTACAAATGAACTCAGCTGACTCTCCTTGGCAGTGCATTTTGTGGCGAGAATCACCGAACACTTCTGTGCAAGTGTACAAGCTGCAGACCGTCACATATGGTACAAGCAGCGCACCATATCTCGCCACAAAGGCTCTACAACAGTTGGCAAAGGACGAGGCAAAATCGCTACCAATTGGTTCAGTTGTTACGCTCAGAGATTTTTACGTCGATAATCTCATGACAGGTGGCGCTACCACTGATGAAGTCGTCGAAATTAAACAGCAAGTTGTTGAGTTGCTTAAACATGGGGGCTTTCCCCTACGAAAATTCGCCACTAATGACAATTCCATCATCTCTGACATTCCTCAAGCTGACCGTGAAGAAATCGTACAACTCGGTGACGTAGACTACATTAAAACACTTGGGTTGAAATGGTCACCATCGAGCGATAACTTCGTGTTCAGCTACACCGAATCATCGTCGTCTTCGAAAACAACAAAAAGAGCGATTTTATCCCAAATTGCAAGCTTCTTCGATCCACTTGGATTATTGAACCCTATAATAGTTTCATGCAAAATATTAATGCAGCATCTATGGGCACTGAAACTAGATTGGGATGAAAGTGTCCCACAAGATGTTTACACCCAATGGCAAGATTTTCGTCGGCAGCTATCTCTGGTTCAAAAAATCCAAATTCCAAGGTATGTACCTTTCAACACCGCTACTGAAATTCATGCCTTTGCAGATGCCAGCACGAAGGCTTACGGCGCCTGCATCTACATGGTCACACGCGATTCTAATGGTACGACGTCATCGTTGCTGTCCGCTAAGTCTCGTGTAGCTCCAAAGAAGGAAGTTAGCTTACCTCGACTTGAATTGTGCGCTACATTGCTGCTGGCGGAACTGCTAAAATCAATTATTGACATATTTTCACCAAATCCTGAAGCCATTCATTGCTGGTCAGACTCGACCATCGCGCTATCCTGGATCAAGGGAGAGCCGTCGCGTTGGACAGTATTCGTTGTGAACAGAGTAACCAGAATTCAACAATTAACATCACAATTCAAGTGGCACCATGTAACATCAGCCGACAATCCTGCTGACGTCGTTTCAAGAGGAGCATCGGCTCATGACATAATCGCCAATTCTTTATGGTTTCATGGGCCAAAATTTTTACTGTTGCCTCAAGAGCATTGGCCACGTTCATCGTTTGATATACCTTCTGACATACCTGAACAGCGATGTCAACGATTCGCATTGGTTGCAAAGGAACAATATGATATGATCGCCTCTCACAAACACATAACCAACTTCCAAAAATTTCTTCGGATATTTACGTACGTGAGGTGGATCATTCAACGCAAGCGGGGATTGATGATTACATCCGGCGAAATAGAGGCAACGTTAGAAATGGTCTGCAAAAATATTCAGCTATTGTATTTTCGTGACGAGTACCAAAGGATGTTAAAAAATTTACCCCTTCATCGATCGTCAAGGCTTTTACAGCTCGCACCATTTTTGCACAATCAACTAATTCGAGTCGGCGGCAGAATAAAAAATTCTACGTTAGCTTTCAACGCCAAACACCCCATCGTGCTGCCCCATGCTCACCCTTTCATTCACACTCTCATCACTTACTATCATCGGCAACATCTTCATGCAGGCGCTCAAACATTGCAAAATATTCTTCGTGACAAATTTTGGATACTCAACGCAAGAAAGGTCATCAGGCAAGTAATCCACCACTGCATAATTTGTTATCGCCTTCGCCCTGTTGTCACTGAGCAAATAATGGGGGCACTACCTTCGCAACGCATCAGTCCATCACACCCATTTGAGACTACAGGCATTGACTATTGTGGCCCCGTGTTAATGACTCAGAAAATCAGAGGCAGGGCTGCAATAAAAGTGTATATTGCAGTTTTCATCTGTTTTAGCACCAAGGCTATTCACTTAGAGGTAGTGCCTGATTTATCAACGGCAGCATTCATCGCTGCACTTAAACGATTTGTGGCTCGGCGAGGACGATGTCGGCTTATCTACTCCGATAATGCAACTAATTTTCTCGGGGCAAGCCGTGAGTTACGACATCTGCTTGAAGCATTCGTTACACAGCAGCACATCAACTCGGTAGAAAACTTTTGCCGTGAAGAAGGAATACTGTGGAAGTTTATCCCACCCCGATCACCACATTTCGGTGGTCTGTGGGAGAGCGCGGTGAAAAATGCAAAACATTATCTACGCCGGTCAATTGGAAACCACATACTCTCATATGATGAACTTCATACAGTAGTATGTCAAGCGGAAGCAATGGTAAATAGTCGCCCGTTGATACCGATATCGTCGGATCCTAACGATCTCCAACCACTCACCCCTGCACACTTTTTGATAGGGCGTACCCTCACCGCTATCCCCGAACCACCACCAGAATCTGCTCAACTCAGCCTCCTAAAGCGATATAAAATTGTCCAGTGGATCCAAGTGCAATTTTGGCAACGATGGCAGCCGGATTATTTGAAGGAGCTGCAGACCAGATGCAAATGGCAATCAGCACAACCCAATCTGAAGGTAAATGATTTAGTATTACTTAAAGATGACCTGGCACCACCACTAAAGTGGCCGATAGCCCGCATCATCGACGTCATGCCAGGTGAGGATGGCAGAGTAAGAGTGGTACAAGTAAAGACCGCAGAGGGAATATATAAGCGCTCTATCACTAAGGTATGCAAACTTCCAACCGAATTTTCACCAACTGCAGAAACCGATTGAAAGCATAGCTTTCAAGGGGGGAGGATGGCCGCGCTCCCACCAAAAACTATGTTCACGCCGCCCCTGGTTTCGTAACTGCATATTTATCGTCGAAAAACAACTGTCAATTATCTCATCTCAACATTTCCCCTACTAACTGTTTTCTTCGCTGCTAGTCAACTCATCGAATTAAAAACAAGAACAAAGGCCTTTACGCATTGCATTCGTAACATGCTTCCTATGCTCACACTGGAAAGCTCTCACCACTCCCAACACCACCTGCTTCGTTTTAGTCGTCGTCGCTGCTAGCATAGCTCCAGCTTAAACCACTCAATTCATTGGATCGCAGACCACCGGACAAATTACACACTTCGCTTCGTACATATATTTCAAAATTTTATTATTCTTCTTACTTAGCAAATACAAGCGCTAATATCTAAAGTTAATAAAATTGAATTTTAAAAATTATAAATTAATATCGAATTACTTGTTTTCGTTATTGAAAAGCCACGGAAAACGCTCCGCGCGCTACACCAGATAATATTTTAATATTTTAAACAAACACATTTTTTGCTAATATTTGTATTCGTAAGTTATNATTCGTAAGTTATTTTATTCTGGGGTCCCACATACGTATACAAGTACTAGGTGGCTGTGTGAAAATTACTTTAGCATTCCTTAGTGGTGGTCAAACCCCAGGAAGGTTTTGCTCCCTCGCATCGCAATGTTTTCTACACAGGGTCAAAGTTTCCTCTTTATGGTAAACATTAGTATTATTTTTCATTACATTCGGTTCTCCTTAGAAAAATTTGGCGCTTCTTATTTTAGTGGAAATTTTAACCATCTATAAGCCCTTTTTTTCAACAGTGGGTCAAGAAGGCCCGTTCTGGTTCGAGTTGATGGGTTAAACTTTTGGAAAAAAAGTAGACTAACCTTGTTTTCAATATGTAATCCGCAAAAAATCGTAAGAACTCCGTAAATTAACATAACGGTTGATAAGATTATTGCAAAAATTTATTTAGAGCGACATAAATTATCCCAATAACTAAACTTTAAAAATTTTTTTATTTCTTTAAATTTAAATAGTAGTAGTATCGGATCTGATAAGATTAGTAGCCTCATGGCTCTTTGAAATCTACCTTATGAGCAGTAGCGCCGGCGTCGCCGCCGCCGCCGAATATTTTTGAAGTTGACCACGCCGCCGCCGCAAAGTCTGTCGGCGTAAACCTCTAGTATGCGCATGCATGCATATGAGCAAATTACAAAGTCGATACAATTTCAGTCGAAAAGAACAGTTTTTGTATGGATTTCGTACTGAAGGAACAATTTTATTCCCAACACTGTGGGGAACTAAGCAAAGTGGCCTAGTGTATTGCGCAAATATTCAAATACATAATCCACCAACCGATAATTTTATATATTCATTAAAAGATAATTTGTCATCAGTCTGAAATAAAAAAATTATAAATCGGAAGAGTAAAATAGTATTGAGTTATTAATTCAAAAATAAAAAGTTTCATTTCACTGCCGAAGGGGGGATCTTTCCAAGCCAGAAGCCCCCTTTGTGTTATATATATTTATATATCTATGCAAAACGTGACCTATTGTGTACAATGTTGCCAGAAAAAATTTCGTTTGGAGCTAAATCGATCGAAAAGAGAGCTAAATAATACTAATAGTAGTTAAAATGAAGAGCTATTTTTTTTTAAGTAGAACATTTAAAATTAAAGTAATGTTGCCTTTAAAAGATCCGCAATTTTAAGAAAAATAACGAATTTTATAAATGCAAGTGCTGAAAAAAACTTTTACAACCAAAATAAGGTAAATATATTTTGAATTCGTTGCTACTATTCGAATTGACCATAAAAACGGGTTACGAATCATTTTTTCGCAAATTTTTTCTGAAAAGATTTATTTCCTTTTCTCGTGAAGGTGAAATTAGTATGGTAAAAAAAATCCGCGCGTTCAGAAAAAGGATTTGCTTCTATATAGTTTTTGAATTCTTTAACCTACATAGGTCCAAGGGTTTATGGTGGAGTCTGTATTTTCTCGTGAATACAAATGTATGTTTTTCCTTTTCTACCATTTCCGCCGGAGAGAGAATACACAGTATGAGCTTATCGGAGCTCGAATTACTGCCCGGTATAGTTTGTGTGCTTCCGCGCCCGTGATAGAAACTAATCGACTTATTTGCCCATTTTCCATTTGCTTACGCGGCATTTGCATTAGGAATAGAATTTTTTAAAGTATTAATCGAAATGGAATAACATGAAGGTATTGAAAATAGCCTGAGATCACTAAAGCCAAATTAACTTTAGTCAACACTTGTACAATGAAATTAGAGATTTTTAATTTTAATATATTACCAAATACAACTTAAATTTTCTGGAGCTAAGAAAGAGATAGATAATTTTGAAACGAGCTAAAAAAAAGAGCTAGGAGCTAAATCCCAATTTTAGGAGCATAATAGAAAAATAAATTGCTAAATCTAGCTCCAAAAGCACCAAAATGGCAACACTGGTTGTGTACTGCATCTACACTCCCACGTAAAAGATCAGTGTATTTTCCCGCGCACAACGGAGAAGGCTGTGAAAATTCAAGGATTTTTAGTCCTCTGGGAAATCGTTGAAGAGATGCTTCAGATTACGTTGTCGTATTTGGGACAAGACAGTTCAGTGGCAAGGAAGTGTTCGATGCTCATTACCATCTCCTACTGCAACTGCGGAATCATTAAAAGGGAAGCCTTCCAACACCACCGTTAATTTTTTAATTTATTCTGAAGAAAATACCTCTTTTAAGTACCCAACCCGTCTAAGTACCTACATTTTTCGTACCCCATTAACCATTTTACTTATAATTTTCCCCTTTTAAGTGCTTTTTTTTAAATTTCTTCAAACATTTACATATTTTGAAATACAGTGGCAGCGCTCACACCTTCTAAAAAATCAACGGTAATTTTTAGCCACTTGAAACTTTCGCATTATTACACTAAAATTAAATAGGCTATAAAGCTGTATACAGTATTCTCATAAAAAATTTTAACACTTCTGAAAAACAAGTTTGAAATTTAGATGCATTTTTTTCATTTCCCTGGAAATTTTTAAGCTCATATTTCAAGTTTCTATGGTATATGTTAGGGGACAAATTTTTTTTCATTGAAAAATTTTAAAAATTAAAAAATAAAAATAAGTGGCAAACAATATAATTTTGAATTTCGTCCAAAATGATATGCCCTGTTTGTATATATGTATAATCAATGACTTTCTAATTTAATTCTTGTGCAAATGATATAACATTGCTTTATCTGTTTTTTAATGAAGTCTTCCTTTATGTGTTTACGTGTTTAAATAATGCTACGATCTTGGTTTTAAATTACGTATACTTCATTAAATGTTCATGTTTTATTCAAGGACTTATTTATGTAAGTTAACAAGAAGATGTAACTATATCAAAAATATGTTCGCTTAAGTACCCGCATCGAAGTACTTAAGCGGGTTCTTTTAAGTACCCAACCCGACTAAGTACCTCAAAAAGCTGAAATTTTTCGTGAGGTACTTAAGCGGGTTGTACTGTAGTCCTAAAAACATGAAATCCTTACTTCGCTTTTATACAGGCATGACACATAGCAAGAACGGCAGAAGGCAATTTTGCACGACGTGCTTGTTGTTGGCTTAGAGAGCTTTGTAGAGTTCTTTATTCTCGTTCATAGCCGTAGCCATTATAGCTTAAAATTATTGTAATCAATAAAGGTATGTTGTACAAAAAGACATAAACAGAAGTTCACAAAGGTTGATATAAAACTATTCGCCGATTTAAATAGTTAACTTTTTACTGCGTATGTTTTGTTTTGACGAGGAGGAAGCATCGAACACCTAACCCCGTCAGTGTGAGACTTTAACCCAAACTAAAGCTCCTACAGTCATGTACTGTTCCCCTCTCGGTACCACCGTCAAGGATTTCGTCGGGATTATAACACTGTGTGACTGCTAAAGTTATAGATCTAGTGAAACACAAAAGATATGCATACTTACAATTTTGAATAGTACCTCAAATCTGGACTTAAGGTCTAAAAACGCTTTTTTCATAGGTTGAGTCTTGTTCATAACTTAATTTCTGTTTATCCCGATGAAAAATATGTACAGTGTGTACACGGTAACCGCAACCCTCAATACATGCAATTCCTTGATTAATGCAAGTCTCTAAAGCAAAACATTGTAACCTTTATAAGTGCAACTTCAAAACAATTTAACCTCTCTACCTACAACATTCTTGGTTTATGCATGTCACACACAAAAAGTTTGAATTTTTGCCTTTCTTTGATTTACCAGCAGCGTTGCCAAGTTTTGAATTTGAAAAAGCACTAAAACCCAAGAAAGTCGCGTTTTTTCTCGAAAAAAGCACCAAATTTTTATTGGAGTATTTAATGGACTCTGTATGCATGAAACATTTTATTGTAGGGATTCCGGTTCAAATTAATAAAAATCAATGTTTTTTGCTTGACGGTCGAATTAATTCTGTCTTCTATAAATTCAATTATTTTATTCAAGCGACGTTAAGATTCTTGTTCTTATTTTCAAACTTGCAGCTGTGTCCAGCGTTGCCGTTTCCCTTAGATCTAAGCATAATTGATTAATTTTCCTAACTGTTAAAATGTTACAATTTTCTTCGTTTTGCTTAATTTTTTCTACAATCCCTATCAAACGAAAGTAAAAACCAGAAATGAAGTTTTAATGAAG